TTTTTTTTTTTTTTTTTTTTTTCCTGCAGTTCATTATACGGGGACGCTGCTGGATGGGACGAAGTTCGATTCGAGTCGTGATAGAGGGACGCCGTTCAAGTTCACGCTTGGTCAAGGTAATGGAGATAACACTTGTAGGAGAATGAAGTGATGGAATTGGATTTAAACAGCTTAAGATACAATGTTATCAATGAAACCACAAATGCTTGAGAGTTTGGCCATCAGTTGAGCAACATTAATAGTGTTACTTCGCTGTGGAGATTGCTAAGCATGCATTTCTTTTGAATGTTGTTTATGGAGTTAAAATTGAAGTGGAAGATGATTATGTTTTATACTTATTTCTGGGATTATTTCAAGCTGTAACATACCATTTTCATTTCATTTTCTACAGTTATCAAAGTTAGGGTTTGTTTCTGCTTTTGGTTATTTATTGAGGGAGAAATAACCCAGTTGTCTTAGAATGATGCATGGTCAATATATATGGTTATTTAGTGCAATTTTATTAGAATTGTGACTTGATGAAATTAAAAAGAAACTCTGTTATCTGATTTCCTGAATTATCATGAATTCTCATATTTTGCTCTTGGGAATGATTTGTTCTAATTATTAAAGAAAAGCATTCTGTCTAAAGTTTGGATACTCATCTTTTACTTGTTTTCAGGGCAAGTTATCAAGGGGTGGGACCAAGGTATTAAGACAATGAAGAAGGGAGAAAATGCTATTTTTACCATTCCTCCTGAGCTGGCTTATGGTGTGTCTGGTTCATCTCCAACCATTCCCCCTAATGCAACACTTCAGTTCGATGTTGAGTTGCTATCTTGGACCAGCGTGAAGGATATATGCAGAGATGGTGGAATATTTAAAAAGATCCTCATTGAAGGAGAGAAATGGGAGAATCCGAAAGATCTTGACGAAGTACTTGGTACAAATAACTAATTCTTATTTCTATAGTATTGGTTTCAGTTTGGGTTGACTTAATAACGAAATATAATTTTGATGCAGTTAAATACGAAGCTCAGCTTGAGGATGGGACCTTGGTTGCAAAGGCTGATGGTGTTGAGTTCACTGTTAAGGAGGGTTAGTGTAGTTGATGACTCTTCCCCCCTAGTCTTTGCTTGCTTTATTGTTTCACTCTGTTACCTTTAGTTGTTGCATAATACTACAAGTCTGACAATGTTATCTTCTGGTAATAGGTCATTTCTGTCCTGCTCTGGAAAAAGCTGTTAAGACAATGAAGAAGGGTGAGAAGGTTCTTCTTTCAGTGAAACCACAATGTAAGATGCCATCTTGTTGACCTGTTCATGAAATATAGACAGTATGCTTGGCTGGTTCTCTAAAATTAATGTCTATTCCTCTTAGATGGATTTGGGGAGAAGGGAAAGCCAGCATTGGGTAATGACGGTTCTGTGCCCCCAAATGCCAACCTACAGATCACTCTGGAACTGGTTTCCTGGAAAACTGTCTCTGAGGTGACTGATGACAAAAAGGTTGTCAAGAAGATCTTGAAGGAAGGAGAGGGATATGAGTGACCAAACGAGGGAGCTGTTGTCAGTGGTAGGTATTGAATTATTACAAAGAAAAAATGTAATTTACCTCATTCATTAAGATTTGAGTTGCTCATGCGTGTTTGCTCTTTTTTTTTTTTT